TAAATTTATTTAATTTTAAATTTATCTAATATTTTAAAACAAATGTTGATTTTTAAAATGATATACTCTTTATACTAATTTTCTACATAATTAATGTATAATATAATAATGAACACAATTGATTTATGTCCTTTTTCTCAAACGCCTTTTCTAAAGATAATTTTATTATGTTGACTCTTAATAAGAATGTTTTAAAAANTGACTCTTAATAAGTATGTTTTAAAAACTTTCATAACAAGTTGATGTATGTTTATCTTTTGTGTTTTTAAAAAAAGACAGATATTTTGATCTGTATAAATTCAAAAAAAAAAAAACGCAGTACAGGGGAGTAGTGGCACAGTGGTGACGTGGCATAGTTCGATCAAGTAATAATAATATCTGGCAGTGATTAAAATCACAATAAAAAAACAATTCGATGCAAATCTTTAGATACTGTTTCCTTATTAATATCCTGATNAAAAAAAACAATTCGATGCAAATCTTTATATACTGTTTTCTTATTAATATCCTGATTAAGATAAAGTATGTCGAATGAAAAAGGGATATAAATATTATTTTTCATAAAAAAATTGTGTTGATCCATACACTTTTCAATAAGTTTTAGTATTATAAAGTTAAAAATGTAAAAAATAAAACGGGAATTTTCACACAAAAATAGCATTCGGTAGCCATATTTACCGCGAAGATTTTTTTTTCATAATAAATNGGAATTTTCACACAAAAATAGCATTCGGTAGCCATATTCACCACGAAGTTTTTTTTTTTCATAATAAAGTATATTACATTAGCTTCAATTTAAGATATATATAAAATTGTCAGACTTTCCGGACCACTTTCAAAAGTTAATTTTTTGTGAAAAAGTTGTCATTTTAAATTCCCCTCTGTGGGCAGGTAAAGGGCTAAATTTATGAAAAAAATATACCAAATGATAGTTAAGGACAGCATGCATCCATAAAAAAAAATTTATTTCAACTTAACTTTCCAACTATGCCAAGTCACCACTGTGCCGCGACCCCCTTATGCTGGGTTTTTTTTTACATTATTATTGTATATGCTTAATAAGTTGATTAAGTGATTTTTAAATAGATCAGTGTACAGAGAAAAGTGCATTAGACAAAAATGGCGTATTTTTTTCCGTATCTATGGACTTAAAATGTCAGCTCCTTGCTTAATGATCGTCAAAGTTCACAAATTATATTTAGTTGAAGTTATAGTAAATACGTAAATACTGCATATTTTAAACATATGTTAAATTAAAACTTTTACTTTATATATTATAAGTTTAAAAAACCAGCATTGTGTGGTCGAGGCACAGTAGGAACATGGCATATTTCGGTCCAATATAGATGAAATCTGACAGTGATTGAAATCACTATCATAAAAATCGAACCAAATCTGTAGATAGTGATTAAATTTAAGAAGTTGGTTAGAATTTTAATTTATTCTAGAATTTAGATATGTTTTTTATTAATAATTATCTGTATATTACCTGATATTTAACGAAGGTAAACTATATTTTACATTATTATTGTATATGCCTAATAAGTTGATTTTATAGCCCGAAAAACTGATTTAGCGACCCTTGGTGAGATTCTCCAGTATTTTTTGTTGTATTTGATTGGTCAATATAATACATTCTGTTATGAATACTTAACTTAGTTTTATTATTGTTCTACAATTATAATAACAGATAATCATAAATTGAATTGTAATCGAGGTCGGCCTATAAGAATGTGTTTATAAAGTATTTTTCGGTGTTACAAAACCGGAAAGTGGGCCGACGGCGACTGTTGTAATTCAGAGCATCGTTAGTCATTTAACAACTATTGTGCGATTACTATTACTTTTTAATAAACTAATTAATTATTAATTCGGCAATACTGTTTTATTTAATTCTATTTGTTACTTTCGTAACAATTCTTTTACGTGGACGTTTCATGGATTACGTAAGAGAATAGTTGAATTTTGTGTAAGGGTATAATTTTTTTATTCATCTTATCCACGGGAAAACATTGAATAGGTGATATATTTTTATTAATTATATGTATTATTTATTATAACAATTGCATTTAATATATATGTATGTATTAAAATATTATTGCTGCTTATTTGTACAGCTTTTGTCTTTCTTCTACTCTCATATTTGATTATGATTCCTTTTCTATTCTATTATGATTCTATTCTACTGAAAGCTGCCAATGCCTCTATACCTATTTTCAAAATTTCCAAAAAATAATTTTCCTCATTCCTTACTTGGTGGAACTCTACATGTACGGTCGCTGTTAAAGAATGCTTCGTTTCTTTTCGTCAGTTCTATTTCCGACTTTCTTGCTTATCAACGTATACGATCTTTCTTCGCTCGTACTCTAAAACATGTAAAAAAAAAAAAATGCTTAGCATTCATTTTATTCTTTATTTTATTATTTTATTCTGCATTAATCGACGTCCAGTTTCCTTAAATGAATTTTGGTTTCCTTCGTTTTGTAATAAAATGGCGCCATCTTATGTTCCTTCTCGGAGGAATTAACACCCACATCTTTTACTACCCCCAATTCATTCAATTCTTCTATACATCCTTTAATTATGTCCTTTACTGCTAAAGAGTTATCATTAGCAATTCACTATCGTTCCTCTTCAATGTCCGACCTATACTGTATCTCTCCTTTGCTACTAAAAAAAATCCTCCAACGATCCAGCAATATTTATGAATATCAAGGGTGCCTTTGACTCAGACCGTATACCTACTATTTAAACACGCTTAAAAGCCATTTCTCTTCTCTTTGCAATTTTATTTTCTCACTTTTTTCTCATCGCTTCTTATACTTCTCTTCCCCTTCTAGAGTTTCTATTTCTCAATCTTCTTTTCATGGGCTTCCACAAGGGTGTTGTCCTCTCCTCTTACGGTTTCAACTCCCACTTTTATGCCGATGATATTGTCCTTTTTCTTTTGATAAATCACTTGTTCACGCTGTGACTACTTTCAAGGACTCCTTGTTCATACTCTACAAAAACCGCCGCTCTTCTTATTTTACCACAGCTCCTAAAAAGAGACAATCATTTTTACCAGAAAATATATATCTCTCTCTTAACTTAGACACGAAGGGTTCTTCATTTCCAGTTCCTTCTTTCCATTGCATCGCGCTGGTCTAATTTTCTCTGTTGTATCATGGGGATCTTATCCCTCTTCCCTTTTATTAATTTTTAACTTCATTATTCGCACTATGATTAACTACAGTTCCTTTCACTTCTCTTCTACATCCTTATGCCATCGTAATATGTTTAATTTAGTAATGATTTTGTGCTTATTCTCAATTTTAGACGCCCTTCCTTCTACTCCTGTCTTCAGCCTTAAAATTGAATACGGTTGTCCTCCTATCAAAATTATGAGCCATCGCTTAGCAGACAAATTTATCCTAAAATCTATTTCCTGTCCCAAACCCTCAATATTTAATCTTTTTAAAACTCTTTGTTAACTCTAGCGATATTTCCCCAAATCTCTTCCTATTCTTGCTTCAATATGTTCTTCACTTTCTCCCCTCACTAATCAAATCCAGAAATCCTGTAGCCTTCTCCCTATTTATGACTGTCTTTACGAGGTCTTTTATTTAGTCAGTACTTTTCTTCAGTATATAAAGATACAGTTTCAACTAACATAATCATTCAATCCAATAAAATTCAGTCTATTGATTCGTTAAAAATAATATTAATTGAACTCCTTGACATATTTAATGAACTAGATACTCTTTTGCACAAAAATACTATTTGTCCTGATTGACTCTCTCCTATATTTTTATTTAACTGCAGATTCATACTCTCTCCACCTATTACAAATCTATTCAATATTTCTTTAAACAGCGGCTCATTTCCAGCACTCTGGAAATCTACATATACCGAACCAATTCTCAAAAAAAGAAATAAATCATTCATTTCAAATTATCGTCCTATATCAATAATTTCAATCTAACCAAAACTATTATCTAAAATAATAAATAATAAACTTACACCAATGTTTAAAAATATTCTGGTATCTCAACAACATGGATTTAGAAAGAATAAATAATCTCTTACTAATTTAACTATAAAACATCATATAATAAAATCATTTTTCAATAATTGTTATATATTAGTGGCTGCACTGTTAAGCAGCTAGCGTCTTTGTCCCCTCTTTGATTAAGATGTAATAATGATGTAAAAAGTAGACGCTCTTATGATTTTTTAAAATAAAGATTTTTACTGTAAAACTTAACTTGTTCTCTTTTTTAAAATATGTATTATTAAAATACATAACATGGCGCAGTCGGTAGGATTGCTAGTACCAGCCCCAGGACCGCTGGAGTTACACGGTAATTTAATGGAAAATTTTAAAAGAAAGTATGAACTATATATATCAGCGAATGACTTGGAAAATAAATCAAATAAAATTAAAACTGCAATAT